GCAGGGCTGGGCCAGCATCTCCGGCCTTCCTTTGTCCCCCTCTTCAAGTGACCATCGGGCCCAAGTGCCCATGTCCACAAGCAGAGAAAGGCACCTGCCCCAGAGCCATGTCCCTGACCACTGACCCCGCGCCGAAGGGGACCCCTGAGGTCAGCTTCCCCAGGGGGCTGAGCGTCCCGAGGCCCACTGCACCCCCCCAGCGGAGGGAAGGGTTTACAGGAGGCAAGGGCTGGAGGGAGAGGGGAGGGAGCACTCACCCGGGGACACCAAGGACTCGGGACTCTGGGGGTCCCACAGCAGTACTGCAGAGAGAAGGTGAAGCCCGTCGGCTGATCCCCAAACTCCACAGCAAGGGGGTCATCCACTCCTCTCGGGACCCAGGCCAGGCACGCCAGCTTGGGAAGCCACCCTCTTTGTGGTTCCCAAATGGGGGTGCATCAGAGCCTGGAGGCTCCGGCCGGCCTTGCCGCCATCACCCCCAGCCTGGCCCCCGCTGGAGACCGGCCGCCATCACGGGCTGCCCCCCCCCCCGGGGCCACCCTATTAAAATCAGAGGTTCGCACGGCCTCCCGACCCCCGGGTTACCCAATGCCAAGTTTCTAACCAGCAGAGCTGCTCCTGAAACTTCCCCAGAACCAACAAAAGAGGAATCAAGTTTTGCTTTGCTTCCCGATCGCAGACAATTTTGAAAATACAGAAAGTGTAAACAAAGGAGCGATGTATCAACAAAGTCCACAAGGATATTTCCGCAGGGACGCCTGCACCGCCCGCCGCCCTGGGCGCCTCCCTCTACAGGTGTCTGGGGTCAGAGTGCAGCGCTCTGTGTCTCCCATTGGCCAGTGGGCGCAGGAGGCATGACTCGCCTCCCCAGTCCCGCCTCCCCCCAGGCCCCGGCCCAGGACCCCGCCCAGGCCCGGGCCCACCACGCAGGCTCCCTCGCTGGACTCCACATAAGCCACTGTCACCCATCGGCAATCCCTTTGTGCCCAGCTACAGAGAAAGGGGGCCTGCGAGGGGGGTCAGCCTCAAAGCCCAGAGCACCCCGGGTTGGGGCAGGACTAGGAGGAAGGGGGAGGGAGGAGGGGAGGGGGGCAGGGAGGTGGGCAGGCCGTGTTTCGCTCTTGCAGGACTTAATGGGCCCACTTGAGACTCTGCCTGCCAAGGTGGGTCAGCTCCCAATGGCTACTCAAACGGACCCCCCCAGAACCCCGGGAGGCCGGCTCTGGTCCCAGCTCCAGGCCTGACCTTTGACGACCTCAGCATTCCCACCTGTAAGTGGGGCTCATCACTCCGGCCCTGACTCACAGGACCCCAGCATTCAAGGGGCGTCATGCCGGGCTGTGTAAGCCACCTGCCTCGTATCCTGGAGGGTGTCCCCTGCCCCCTCCCCCATAGGAGGCCAAGAGCACCCACTCTCAAAGCCGGAGGATCTGAGGAGAGAGGACCCCACGTCCAGGCTCTCTCACCACCTCTGCCCTTTTCCTTCATGCGAAAGGTTAGGTTTGGGGTCCCCCCAGTGAGGATCCAAGTCAGGGGCCAGAGCCTGCCCACTGCCCCATCTGCCCCCTCCCCTCACTGGCGAGGGGCCTGCCCACTGCGGGCTCTGGGTGGATGCCTTCCCACCCCAAGCCCGGGCTCGCCCTCCCGGAGGCTTCTCCTAGGGGCTGTTTTCACTTTAAACAGACACAGTGGACCCTTAAACAAGGGGGAGGGTGCTAGGGCTCCATCCCCACCCGGTGCGAACCCCACGGGTACCTCTGACTCCCCGAGAACTTAGCTACAGTTCCTGCTCTCTGGCATCTGTGGGACGTTGGTTCCAGCCTACCCCCCAATACCCAACCCCAGGTGCCCAGTCCCTCCTATGAAGTGGCCTTGAGGCCGTGGGAGCCGGAACAAAGCAGGCAGGAGCCTCCGCATGGGGATTCCCAGCCACAGGGTCGGAAGGACCCTCCTGTCTGCGGCGGCAAAACCTGGGGAGACCCTGGACTGCCCGTGTCTTTACTGAAATAAAACCCGGACGTACGTGGACCCTGTTGTCCAAGGGCCAGCGATATGCCGACACTGTCCGTCCCCCTGTTCGTGTCTGGGACACGCACACAGCTGCCCTCTGCCACCGTGAGCACAGGCCTCCCCACAGCAGGGAGCGGGTGCGGGCCTGGGGGGCAGCGCGGTGCCCCTCTCCCTGGTCGGCCCTGTGGTGGGGGCAGTGGCACTGGGCCCCTATGCCTGCCAGCC